GAGATACTCTTTATCAGGTTCCAGCCCAGGAAAGAGATTTTTTAAAAAAATAAGAGCTATCTGGGTGATTTGTGGGTAGTATTGCAGTGGTTCAAGGACAATGCAGACCTTAACTAAGTGGTTTGACTTATCTGGGTCTCAGTCTCCACACCTGTAGGATGGGGGTAAATATGAATGAGGTGAGATTATATTTAGCACAGCACCTGCATGTCACAACAGGGCAATTAGTTTTCACTATTAGCTATTGTTTCTAACAAGATGAGGTGCTTGGGGGGGGGGGAAATGCGATCCAAATGAAGTGTATCTGGTAGTAATTTCACTCGGCTCTTCCAGAACAAACTCTCAGACATCCTTTTCGGGGGTTGGGGGAAGGGTGCTACTCCTAGCTTTGCACTGGGACTCCTCATGTGGACAGAGGTCAAATGAGAGGCAGTCCTGGCCAGAGCCATTTTCACTGGCTTTGGGACAGTGACCAAGACCAGGTCCTGACGTCCTCCTACCGCCACCCTCCCTGCTAGGCAGGACAGGAAGTTTCAGAGTTCAGCCATACTTCAGACAAATCCTGAGGTTCATTCATTCATTCACTTGCTCGTTCCACAAGCATTTCTTGAGCACTTGCTGTGCCAGGCACTGTGCCACAAACAGGCATAATGATAAACGGGGTACACGTGCAGTCTCTGCCTCTCTCAGCTTGATTATTAGAGGAGGTAAACAGACATTAAACAAATCATCACACAAATAATCCTATTTTGTAATTGTGATAAGCGCTGGACCCTTTCCTTAAGTAACTAAACTTCCTCTTGATGCCTCTTGGTCTGAAACACACTACGATACAATAATTCACCCTTGAGAAAAGGAAGCAGAGCCCAAAGTCCCAGGATGAAGTATTCACAGAGCATCCACAAATCTTGTGGTCATGTACGAGAACTCTTAGCATAGCGAGGTGAAAGTTGCCCGTTGTCATTGTCTTTATCTGCTTTTGGAGATCATGTCAGATTCCACTGATACTTTGTGGCAGAGCTCTTTTTGAGTTCTCCCTGGGGAAATAGGTGCATAAAGCTAGATAGACTTTTGAATGGTTGTAGTGTGCAAGGCCATGAACTGTGTCCCTACACCTGGGCATCTCAGGGTGTTCACCTCCTTCCACAGCTGCATTGGCACCTTGGCACTCAGATTGGTTATGAAATTAGAGTTTTAGACCTTTACACATTCTTCCCACTGTTTGAAGAAGCTACAATTAACATCTCCTAAGCAGCTCCACAGAACTTTGTTGCTAGGCAGCAGACCTTTAACGACAATTTGTCAATTTCTGCCAAAAGAGAGGAAAAATAGTAAACATTCACATTCTTAGAAAATTGCTTGTTTTCCAGCTTCCAACTTTCTTGCCATGGCAAGGCCTCCAGTTGATGAGTGTCCATTTTATTCTTTATTTAGTCTTCATAAATAATTCAAAGGCGTTTTGGGAGAATAATTGAGCCTTTTTTCAAGCCTAACCCCATGGCAACTCAAAACAAAAAGATATTGAGGTTATAATTGGGTTGCCATATTTGTGGGCAGGTTTCCTGTGAATGTACAGAGGCTCCTCTGGAAGGTAGAGTACCCAGATGCCCAGCTGTAGCATGTGGACAGCAATGTGTAGCATGTGCCAGGAAGGTGGTGGCAGATCCACGGAAGACTCTTGACTCCTTCAGCCTTTGTTAGCACCTGGTATGTGCAAGGCCCTAGGTGTACTGCTGGGCTCCAGCCTGAGGCCCAGCCAGACCTCACTGAGCTCACCATCTTGTGGTGAGGACTAATGGCAGGAAACCAGGAGATCCCCGTAATGGGGCTGTGGGAGTTCAGAAGAGGCCCAGAACCCAGCCTGGGATCAGGAAAGGCTTCCCAGAGCAGATATGGGCTGAACTGAGACCTTAAGGATGACACAAGCCAGCCCCGCTTTGGCAAGGGAGAAGAGTATCCCAGCAGTATATCCTCCCATATACCAAGGAAGAAAAGTTCTTTGGATACCACATCCGCGTGGACACAGGGCCTGATAGGCTCGGCCTGATGGCAGCTGTAACTTGCAAAAGCCTCCATCTAATTTGCATATTCCAGCCCATGGGGAAGCCACCTGATTTGACTTTAGGTTATCTCTAGGGCATTGGCAGTAAGCCCTGTGGCTAAAAGACAGGGGGGCTGTGAGGGAGTGCCAGATGGTGCACAAGTTGTCTTGGCCTGGGTTCCTTTGCCCCTTCCAACATGTGGTACCATGTATAGGTTATTTAACTATTAGCCTGAGTCCCAAGTTTCTCATCTGTAAAATGGAGATGATGGTAGCACCTACCTAACAGAGTTGGTGTAGGGACTAATAATAAATTAGTTCAAGAACAGCCCTTACACTGGTACTGGGCACACAGCACTCCCTACATGTTGGCTGGCACCATTATGATAGCGCTGCCCTTCCTGTGCTTCCATGAGCCCTCTGGTGTCCAGCCTGCCACCTGCTCCCAGAGTGATGCAGGACAAAACTTGGAACTCTCTTGGGACCAAATCCGTGTGTCTGTCTCTCTCTCTCTCTCTCTCTCTCTCTCTCTCTCTCTCTCTCCAGAATCTCCCTGACTGAGTTGAGCCTGGGATCTCTTCTTGCTGAGTTCTCAATGCCAAAGCTGTTCCTAGGTCAGGGCTGCTTCTTACCCACTGGTGTGACCTGGCACTCGGGTCTCTCCAGCTCCAGCTTGGGCAGCACCCTGGTCCTTAGACTTTGAGGACCAGAGGCTGTGTGTTGCTCCTTTCAGGTGCATGTGTGCTTGGGAGTTTTAGTTCCGTATGGATCCATGAGGTGTCTCACCCTGTTAATGGGGGTTCAAAAGCACTGCACTGCCGAGAGCCAGCTGGGGGCCTCAGACGCATCAGATAATTCTCCAGAGAGGCCCATTCATCCATTCAGTGAGCCACTCAGTCACTATTTACTGAGTACCTACTATGTGCCAGTCACCATGCCAGGCACTGAGAATGTAGCAGAGAACAGGACAGGTGTGGCAGGGGAGATATGATGAGAAACAAGCAACATGAGTACACCAGTTAATCGAAGTGGAAGCGCTGGGAATGGAGGCAGGATGGTGGGATGGAAAATGGCTGTGTTGGGCAGTTGGCGCTCCTTGAATCGGGGTGATCAGAGAAGGAATCTTGGAGGAGGTGGCACTTAAACTACAGCCCAGGATGAGGGAGCAGCAAGAGATTTCAGATTCACTCATGCCTCTTTGGAGAGACACACAGTGGCACTGGGCTCTTGAAGGGTTGATTTCTGGAGCAGAACGATGTGCTGTCCCAGCTGGGCGGTTTACCATGGCATCAGAGCAGCATGGCTTTGGCTGTGGGACCCCTTGGTTTTCTCGGGTCGGGAGAATTCTGAGGCAGGGATGAGTCCACTGTGGGTTCAGTTCATCTGCCAGGTCCTGTACTGGGGCCCAGAGGGAAGTAACCCAGCCCCAGCCCTGCTGGGCTTGGCCCAGGCTGCAGCTAGAAAACGTTCCCCACAAAAGCACCGAGTGCCTGAGTTCGTGTTCTTGTGTCAGTGGTTACAGCTTGCTAATAAGATATGCAAATTATTAGGGCTGTAAAATCTTCGCCACATTCCATCTTCTGTTTAATTAGCATTTAATCATAATCTCATTTAATTTTTTTCACATTGGCACCCTAATTAAATGTTAGGGTGTTAGTCTTAACAATTAAATTATATTGGCAAATAGAACCTTCCAAAAACTTGACCTTTTTCAAGCCAGAGCCCTCTCTAGCTAGATGCAGCCGTTAATTAGTTTTCTGCAAGATGCCACCTTGAACCCCCTTGGTGCACCCATTTCAGTTGTTTCCTTGCTGTTATGGCCCTAGGTTCGAATGAGACACGCACAGCCGGTGAATTGGCAGAGGCCTCCACCAGGCAGAGGTTACCATGAATGGGTTGGTCAGAAGCCTCTGGAAGGCCAGCAGAGGCTGACTTTTCCTGGGAGGGCTGGGTTTGGAGTTTGGTCTGAGGCCTGGAGCACTCCTTAAAGTGGTTTCTCTTGTCTCAGTGATGCTAACTCTTTAACTTGTGATTCTCCAGTGGTGATCACTGGGAAAGTTGGTACCTGAGCAAGTCACAAGGTCTGGAGCTGCCACCTAGTCCTGCAACAGCCCTTCCTGGGAGGTCACAGTGAGGTCAGGCAACCAGGGCAGGAGAGGCACTGCTGGTGCCGCTGGGGCTGGGTTTGGAGATTGTTCTGGGGTGGAGAGGGGGGCAACAGACAGAACGTCGGGAAGAGCAGTTTCCCCTGAGTGACCAGAAGAAAACCAAAGCATGAGGGTGTGGCCACTCCTGGCCTGGCTCTGAGGGAACTTGGATGAGCTTGACTGAGAAGAAATTCATCCCCTCCTCTTACCCCATCACACACAGACAACGGAACTGTGGAGCCCCTCCCACCCCACCCCGCCAGTAGGGAACATGATGTCCTTGCTCTCAAGGGACCTAGGAGACCCTGACCAATGAGAAGCCTCTCTCTAGGCTGCCCCAAACCCCACCCTCCCCTCAACTATTTGTATTAAGGCCCTGGCATTTCGTTTGCCTGGGGTTGGTGCCCTGCGCTCTTAATACCGCAACTACAAACATAATTTTAAACCTTCAGTGGAAATTCCCTGAAGAGTCACTTAATGACAGTATTATGTTCACAGAGACCTTTCTGCCATCTGATTTTTCCTCTTTTTTTTTTTTTTTTTGCCTTTCCTCTTCCCTCAGAGGTCCACTCACATCCATCACTCTAACTCTGTCCTTTAACAGGTCAGAACACATCAGCACATTTCTGAACATCTGCTGTGGACAAAGCACTGTGCTGGGTTTAGAGAAGAGGCATTATTGTACTTAGTGCATTTGTGGTGTCTTCTGACCTTCAGTGAGTGGGCAAAAAGCCCACTTGAGTTGCATCTGCCTTTTTCTCCCTTGGCGAGACACAGTCTGAAGCCACTCTCTGCGCCCTTGCTCCCTGCAGGTTTTCCGGACAGACTTGATCACAGCCATGAAGATCCCAGACTCGTACCAGCTCAGCCCGGATGACTATTATATCCTGGCGGACCCGTGGCGACAGGAATGGGAGAAAGGTGTGCAGGTGCCTGCTGGAGCAGAGGCCATTCCAGAGCCTGTGGTGAGGTGAGCCAGTCAGCCCAGGCGAGGGGACCATAGGCAGGGGACGAAGGGGAGGCTAGGACCCAGCAAGGGACCTGTCGGTCTTGGGATTCCTGTCTAGCCCAGCTCTGTTCTGTCTTAGATTCTTTTGGCCCATAAACCATTGAAACGTTCCAGAAATACGACTGGTAGTTTACTTTTGAAGCTAAGGGCTTGCTTGGGCTTAGGCTCAGCTCTGGAGCCAGACAGCCTGGGTTCACATGGCCACTCACATTCAGTGTGACCTTGGGTCAGAAATGCAATCTCCCTGGGCCTCAGTTTCCATGTCTCTGAAATGGGAATGATGACAGCAACACCTACCTCCTACGGCAGCCGAGAAGATGTAGGAGAATAATGCAGGAAAGGCACTTGGCACAGGGCCTGGCACACAAGTACTTGGTAAAAACTGACCATGCATTAGCTTGATGTCCATCCAAACTGCGTCCCACAAGCACATCTTACCAGAGAAGCCTCCAGGCTTTTAACTAGCCCTTAAGACAGGGATAAGCCGTGCTCTTGACTTCTTAAACCTTTTTAAGGAGTTCTTTGAGGGAGGGAGTCATGTGCACACAGCAGATGCTCAAGAAGCAGTTGCTGTGACCAGCCCCTGAGGAGTCTGCCTGCCAGGGCTGGGTCAGAGCTGAGTTTTTTCTGGGCTTCATAGCCTTCTGAGCTTGTGAGCCAGAGAGACCCCTGGTGCTCTTGTCAGGAGGTGGCCTCGTGGCCATGGGCCTTGCCTCCAGCAGCAGAGTTCATCCAACTGCTTTTTTCTGCACCCTGGGAAACCTTCCAAGTCATGTCTCAGGGCAGAGGGGCCTGCTGTTCTGGCCTGTTTCTCCCCCCCACCATCCGCCACCAGCCCGCCTGGGGCTGGGCAGTTTGTGTTATTGGCAGCCCACTCCTTTTCCTGGCAGCCCTGTGGCTCTCGCTTAGGCCCATTTGACCAGGCCTGGGGCAAAGATCACAGCTGTCACCTCCTCTGACGTTGGCACTGTTGGTTCCTGGCAGCCACACCCATGACGGGCTCACAGATTCCTAGTGTCCGCTTGGTGCCAGGCCTGTGCTGGACATGGGATTACAGAGGTGAAGCAAGCTAATCCCTGCTTGGTGAGGATTGGGTGCTGGGCAGGCCATCCTCTTGTGGCTCCTGAGGGCCGAGTGTCTCCCAGCTTTTGTCTGGAGCCTTTTGAGAATCAGCGAGTTCTAGGCCTCTCTGGAAGGGAGTACATGTGACATCCGGAGAAAGAATTTATTCTCCATATCCCCTGCCCAGGGCCTGGAACATGGGTCCAGCTCCCAGCCAGCTTCACACCTTCGCCTCTGCAGCCTGAAGCGCTGTGACTGTCCTCTTTGAGCCTGTTTTCTCCTCTGTCAAATGGGGCCCAGAATAGTACCTGCCTGATGGTGTGGTGGTGAGGCCTGAAGGAGCAACCGCAGCCCAGGGCCCAGGGTGATGCGGGGGAAGGGCCACCAGCTGGACAGAGAGGCGAGTCCCCTTTAGGCTTGGCCCAGCAGCCTGCCCCCGCTCCTTGATGTCAATGTCAGGTGCTTCCGGAAACATCCGCTGGCCTGGGTAATTAATTGCAGATGCTTCCACACCAGTAACTTGGCTTCGGTCTGCCTGCTCAGTGCTTCATCTGTTGACATGAAGAGGAGAGCACGTGTTCTGACAGCTCTGGCTCTCCTAGGTGCGTCCCCTGCAGACGCACTGCTGCTCTAAGCTGACAGGAGCCAGGCACTCCTGGCCTGAACCTGCTTTTTGGAGAACATAGCTGGAGGTGGGGAGGGGTGCTCTCCGGAAGAGCTCTCCATGCCCCTTCTTCCCCTGTCTCCCTCCCACCTGGTCCCTCCATCTTCCTGGGTGCCTCCCACTGCACAGCTCACACTGGAAGCCAGCATGGCAGCTTCTGTGGTCAGAGCTGTTATAGGAACTCTCTTCCTGAGAACTTGCTGTGCTGAGCCTGTTACGTTCATCTTCTCATTTAATTATCATATTAGCCCTATCAAGTACATGCTGCTGTCCCCATTTTATAGATGAGGAAGTCGGGAAATTCTGGGGAATCCCCTGCGTGATCATCAGGGCCTGGTGGGCTGAGCCAGGAAATCACAGGCTACAGGAACAAGCCCTGGGTTGTCCCAGCGAGGCCCAGAGAGAGCCTGGTGCCCCGATCACCCTGCCCACTGGCTCTGACAGCCCTCCCCCAGCTGCTACCCCAGCCCCCTCTCTGTCCTCCTTGCCCTGTCCTCTCTGGCCCTGGAACAGGTCTGCCCCCCTCGTGGTCTGAAATTTATCTGGGTAATGAGAACCTGCCTTGCCCACAGGGCCTACACTGTTCCCTCAGTGTGGCCAAAGACTCAGCCCAGGGACAAACCAGCCTCGGCTGTCTGTCTAGCCTTTTAGAGTAGAGACCCCTCCCCTGCCCCAGATCCCAGCCCAGCCATCGGACACCTCCCAGCTGACCTCAGTCCTGCTGGCTGCAGCCTTGGCCTAGGGTCAGGACGGTCCATTCCTGGTGGGAGAGCTTCTTCCAGAGCCAGAGCCAGAAGAGACCAAATGGGCGAAGGTGAGAGGCCCCGGAAGCGCAGGAAATGCCTTTTCTGGTGTGAGCCCCTTAACCCCCGCTTCTCGGAGAAAGGAGCTTGATCTTGGCCAGGTGGCCGCTGACTGAGAACACAGATGTGAGTAGTTATGCCAGTAGGTAGTGTGCATTCAGAACCCTGACTAAGTATATGCTTTGGGCGCAAACAAAGCAGGGTCACAACAAAATCAGTCTGTGTTTTTAAAAGAATGTATGAATTCAAGTAACAGCCTCATGAAGAAAGGCAGAATTCCATAGGACTGAGAGTGTTTGTCTTTTATTAATATTTGGAATGGCTTATTAGGGGTGGGGGGAATCACACCGTTATCATTACCTAAGGCTTTCCTTAATCTGGGCCTCTGTGTGGCAAAAGGTGACACAAAGCCCTTTCCCTTTCTCCTTGCCCCCCTCAACCTCCTCTGGGCCGTCCCCTTGGCCATTGTGCCTCTCTCCTTCAGCCTTCCTGCCCCTCTTGCTGATATCCGGGGCATTTCCTGGAGCACAGGAGCCCTCCCCATAGCTCTGCCCTGTCTGTGCCATCCAGGGCCCTGCCCTCCCCTCCCTAGTCTGCGCTGAGTCACAGCCCCTGGCAGCCCTGCCTCCCACCCCAGGAGGCCTCTCGGGCAAGTGAGGGGCCTCTCAGCCCCAGCAGGGCTGGCCAGATGGAGGCCAGGCTCCGCAGCGATAACCATGGCAACCGGTGAGTTGGGAAGAGCTGGCATCAGAAACTGAGGGGCAGCGTACAGCTGAGCCAAGAGGGGAAACTGTGCCCTCTCAGGGAAAAAGCCCTCATCTTCCATTTCAAAAGGAGCCAAGTGATAATCCACAGGTCTTAAAATGTGCACTCACACATGTATAGTGCTTACTTTGTGCCAGGCGCTGTTCTAAGGGCACTATAGGTATTCATCCATTTCCTCCTCACGCCAACTGTAGAAGGTAAATACTATTTTTATTAGCCCGTTTTTTGGATGAGGTCACTGGGGCACAGAGAAGTTAGGTGGCTTGCCTCCAGAATCACACCTCAAGTGGTGGAGTGGGGCTTTGGGTCCGCGCTGTGCAGCCAGGGCCCTTCCAGCCTGCCTCAGAGGCAGAGCCATGGTCTGAGGGAGGGCTGACCTGGCATGTATGTGGTCCTGGGACTGTAGTAGGTGCCTATTAGTATTCAGGGGAGGAGGTCTCCATGTTGGGGGGCAGGGCACTGCAGATGAGACTCATGGCTCAGGTAACGTTCTTTCTGGGGAAGGACAAGGTGTGTGAGCAGCACTGTTTTCTGGGGCAGTGGACCTCTTATGTGGAAAGAACCACCCTGGGCTGCAGCAATGGAGCCCGGGAGAACCCCTCCTCACCCCACAGGAGACCTGGCCTCGGTTCACCTCAGGCTATTGATGAGGGAGGGGGCCAGGGTTTGTGAGGGCATGGGGACACCCCTGGCCTCTCCCCAGCCTTGAGGGGTGTGCTGAGGGACCTGGAGCCCACTTGGCTCTATCCCACTCGTTCCAGAGTGGCTGGCACTGTACATTGCCCAGGACTGCACTTGGAATGCCTCTTACAATCCTGAGTAGGGCATGTCCAGTTCACGAGGCCAAGGTGTCCTGATAGGAGGGGGCAGTAGGGGTGTGCTCTGGGCAGGATGGAGTTTGTGAAGTGTGCAGGGGCTGTGGGTCAGGCCCCACAGCTCTTTGGTCTCCTGTTCTGCTTACTCATAGTCGCCTGAGACTGTAGGGCGGGCAGGTGGGAGAAGGAAGTATAAGAAGGGAACGGGAAGAGGTGGGCGCTGCATCGTAGTTTAATACCTCACTTGCCCACCAGCTCCTCAGCCAACTCACTGGAGGCCCCCAGCGAGGGGAGCAGGCCGAGGGTCCCTCCCCTCATGACACCCCCTCTTGATTTCCTAGGATCCTCCCACCGCTGGAAGGCCCCCTCTCCCAGGTGTCCCCTAGCAGCTCCGAACGTGGCGAGGGCTCCCAGCCTGAATGGCCAGGGGGCAGCCGCTATGACCTGGACGAGATTGACGCCTACTGGCTGGAGCTCATCAACTCGGAGCTCAAGGAGATGGGTAGGTGACCTGCCAGGCTGAGAATGGGATTGGGGGCAGGCAGGCAGGGTTTTCTTCTGAACCCCAGCATCCTCACCTTCAGGAGGGAAGTAGCCACGATGGGGCTTTGGCACTGAATGGATCTGGGGAGACAGTCTCTGTAGCATTACTGATTAGAGAACTTATTTGGTATCTCTGTGCCTCAGTTTCTGTAGCTGTCAGATGAGGGTGATAATAGCATGTTATTGACAGAGTTCTTGGAAATATTGTTATAAGTATGATTTCCATGAAGAGTGAGGGAGCACACAAGTGATTCTAGGGTGACAAATGGGATCAGGTCAGTGGGTGGGGACCTCCTGTCTGGAGCCCACTAACATGTCTCAGGAAGGGCCAGCTCTGTCAAATTCAGCCATCTTCAGAGGGTCCCCCCATAAACACAGCACAAGCAGCCGCAAACCAGAGATAACTCCATGTTACCTGCATGTACATATGTGTGTGAGGTCACAGGCAGGCTCTCTAAAGTCAGAGCACCACTCAGGCTCCTGGCCTTTGAGATGGGATGGTCCATCCCAGGGGTCGGCAAACTTCTGAGACGGAAGAGCCACTATGGGTCAGCAAACTGTGGCTCGCGAGCCACAGTTTGCTGACCCCTAGTCCAGCCTATTCAGTTTTCAGACAGTAGCGCTGAAAACAGCAGTCGACAGGTTTCCCCAGGTCTTCGTGGGTGAGTGGAAACCTTCCCGTCTACCTGGCCGGAAAGGCCTGGCTCCTCACACCGTCCCTTGTCCTCACAGAGAGGCCCGAGCTGGATGAGCTGACGCTGGAGCGTGTGCTGGAGGAGCTGGAGACGCTCTGCCACCAGAACATGGCGCGGGCCATCGAGACCCAGGAGGGGCTGGGCATCGAGTACGACGAGGATGTCGTCTGCGACGTGTGCCGCTCTCCCGAGGGTGAAGATGGCAACGAGATGGTCTTCTGTGACAAATGCAATGTCTGTGTACACCAGGTGGGCAGCCCCCGGCACCCTCACCCACACTGCCCTTGCATGCCACCCCTGGGCTGGCCCCTGCCTGGGGCTGGTCGTCCTGGCTGTAGGAGTACAGCAGCACTGTGGACATAGGCCCCTAAGAAGGAGGGCAAGGGGGAAGGAAGGGACTGGCACAAGTGCCCTGTGGTGCCCCGGACGCCCAGGGTCGCTTGGCTCAGCCCATTCAGCCATACTGGAGTAAACACCCATTGGATGGTCCTTCTGTCCTCTCCTGTCGGCCTCCCGCACACTCTCCCCCCGGGAACACCCTGCCTTCTGCCCTCCTCCCCTGCTCCTCACTGCGGAACTTACAAAGAGGCAGCACAGTGTGGTGATTGAGAGCAAAGCCTGGAGCCAGGCTGCCTGGTTGCAAATTGTGGCTCTGCCTTTTTTATAAGCTCTATGGCTTTGGGCAGGTTTCTTAACCTCTCTGGACCTCTAGTTGCTCAGCTATAAGTAAAAGTAAGTTGTTGTGAGGATTAAGTTACTAAGAGTTATTTGCTTAGAATAGTATCATAAGGGCCATAAGTGTTTTTTACCATTATTGATATTATAAACTGTCCAGCCTGACCAGGCTCCCCTCTTGATCTTGGTCTTGAGCATCTCTGGGCCTTAGTTGCTGAAGACCTGACTAGAACGCAGTGGACCCACTCTGGCTCTGACTTTGAGCCCCTTCCCCGCTCACCCACCACCCACTGCTACTGGACTAGCTCCTGGGAAGCTCAGAGGGGCTTCGCCTAGCTGGCAAGGGTGCAGTAGACCCCCCCCGACCCCCGTTCATCCACATCCCTTCTACTCAGCAACTCTTAGGTAAAAAACCCTAGGCATAACCAGGAGGAGCCTGCTTCACAGATCCCTATGAAAAATGATGAAAGCTCTGCTCCTTTTGCTCAGGCAGCATATACACCAAAATTTGTACTCAGGGCCGTTCCCGGACACTTCTGAAGTCCATCACTGATTAGGAACCTCTGGCTAAAGGGACTGTCCTCCCAGCAGAGGGCAGACCTGAGCCCCTTCACAAAGGACTGTGAAATGGTGACAACACAGGCAAAGGGGAGCCCTGGTGTTATAACCCTCAGGAGGTCTTGCCAGAGCCTGGTAGCGTGTAGCTTGGGAGCTCCTGGCTCGGGCTGGGGCTGAGGCTGGGACTGTTTGCAACTGACTGCTGACCAAATGCAGATTGGCCAGTGCCTCCCTCTCGTTACCACCCTGCTGTCTCCCCAGGCATGCTACGGGATCCTCAAGGTACCCACAGGCAGCTGGCTATGCCGGACGTGTGCCCTGGGTGTCCAGCCAAAGTGCCTGCTCTGCCCCAAGCGAGGAGGAGCCTTGAAACCTACCAGAAGTGGGACCAAGTGGGTGCACGTCAGCTGCGCCCTGTGGATTCCTGAGGTGGGCAGACCTGGGGGTGGGCAGCCCAGGGGAACAGCTGTAGGGAAGTAGGTATGCATGGAACTCAAAACTCAGGTAGCAGAGGACTGGGAAAAGCGGGTGATGGGCCCACATGAAATGGAGGCATCTCCGGTGTCGAGCCTGGGAAGAACTGGGAGAGCAGTCCCCAGGGAACTTTGCCTATGCACTTGGGCAGAACTCAGGGGTAGTTTCCATGGGAAAATGAGATTAGGGGTTATTGGGGGCTCCAGTGGTAGGTCAGAGCTGGACAGAAATCAGGCCGCTGACTACAGGGAAAAGCAGGTTGTGAGTCCATCTCCATCTACAACAGGCAATGGTCCCAACCAAAGTCAAGCTGCCTATTTAAAACAAAAATAAGCCAACTGACCTAAAAGAAAATCGGGCAGTGAGCCTAATTACAAGGTGGATAGTGGGCCTGCTGCTATGGCTGTGGCTGGATGGAGGGGTGGGCTTCGGTCTGAGTCTTGGTGGAAAGGGACGGGCCATGGGTGACAGGCTGGGCCCACAGTGAGTTAGCTGAGGACTTGGGCTGCCGGATGGCATCCAGTTTTATTTGAAATGGGAAATACTGAAATTTACCAGCTATAGCCCTGACCCTGCTGTGTGCCATGACCCAGAATGAGGGCCCGCTCCAAGGCTGCCTGTGCCCAGAAGCAAGCCAGGTGACCCTGTCAGCAGATGGCCCTTGCCTTCCTGGGCTCCCAGTCCAAAGGTCCTTGCTGGGACCCACATTGCAGGCTTCTGTGATGATAGTGGTTGTATCAGCAATGGTCGCTTGCTTCCAGATCAGCATCTTGAAGGCTGGGACTTCCTGTGAGTGTACCCTAGGCTGGGCACAGCAGGGACAGAGAATCAATGCGGACCCCATCATGGGAGCCCTTTGGTTCAGGACCTCTGAACAAAGGCCCTTCTTCCATCCTCAGACATGGGCAGTGGGGAGGGGTGGGCCGTACCCAGGAAATTTGGGCATGGTGGTAGGCCTGTCCCCGTTGGCCGGAAAGACACATCCCTATTGGCCGGAAAAGCCCTGTGGCCTGCAAGAAAAGATGCTGCCTTAGGGGGCTTTCCTGCTACCCAGAAAAATAAAAGAAATACAAGTTGTGATAAGACCTCTGAAGATGCTATTAACAAAGGCCTGAGATACAGAAGAGGGACCTTGCATGTACTCATCTGTGTGTGTGCATACACACACGCGCGCCTCTGTCTCGAGAGCCATACAGTCATAGGTACACACACAGTCAGTTAAACACACTGATGTGCACTCTGTCACACAGTCACAAACCATGTAAGACTTGTCACAGGTGAGCGCACACACACCCAGTAGATAGTTGAGACAGGAAGGACTTGAAATTCAGGGGCTTCCTTACTGCCCTGTCTGCCCCCTGCCTGGTGTCAGCAGACAGCCCCCATTTGGGGCTCCTTGGGGCAGGCTGGAGACAAGAAGCCTGATAGAGCTCCCTGTGTCCCGCCCAGGTCAGCATCGGCTGCCCCGAGAAGATGGAGCCCATCACCAAGATCTCGCACATCCCGGCCAGTCGCTGGGCTCTGTCCTGCAGCCTTTGCAAGGAGTGCACGGGCACCTGCATCCAGGTACATGGCCACCTCACCCTGCTGTAGCCCCACAGCCCCTGCAGGAGCCAGCTGCCCCACTCCCCGTGGTGCTGCAGACAGAGAGCCACTAATGGGCCAGGGAGACCTGTGACTGGGGCCAGAGTCAGAACCCCACCTGGGAGGCATTCCTCCATCCCCAGTTCCTGCAGGCACCGGGTACAGGCTGGGGAGCCCAGGCTCACCTCCCAGTTGTAGCACTGGGACTTTCCCCAGGAGCAAGTGTCTATGGGCTTCATGAATACATTGACCCTGCTTCCAACATCAAACTTGACATATGGAAGGGGTAGAATTCAAACGTTTCCTCCAGCTCAGCCAACAGGCTATCCTGACACAGGGCAGGGCCGCATTAGTCTGTTGACAGCCATGTTTCCCAAATTCTGGTGTGATCAGTGTTACCCCGAGGGCATGTGAAATCAGATGGCTGGGCCTACCTCCAGAGGTCCTGCTTCAGTAGGTCTGGAGTGGGCCTGAGAACATGCATTTCTAGCAATACTGATGCTGCTGGACTAGAAGCTGGGATGGGGGGCATCCTTTCTCTCTCTCGTCTCTCCAGGAACAGTTGTCATTGCAGACGTGCCTCCCCTCATTTGTAAGACTTTCAAAATGGCTTGTGAGTGCAGCAGAAATGGTCACTAATAGTTGGATGGGTGGTTGTTGAAACAGTGATCAGCTGCCCACAGCCACCATCCAAGACTGGGAGGGAGGGGGCAGGTCCTGAGTTGCTTGGGCTGAGGGGAAAGGAAGCGGTCTGGGTTTAGCCTCTCCTCCCAGAGGACAAAGGAGGGCCACAACTCCCCATCTTAGATAACGTTGCAGTAGGGGAGGCAGTGACCTGTTGCCAGCCTTTCTTTCGATGCCTCTGATTCCAAAGTCATTTTGCCCAAGAGACATGCTGCTTACCCCACAAAGGGTTTTCCAGTTGTCTGATTATTGACTTCCCCAGGGTGTAAGGTGCTGAACCCCATATCTTTTCCAGCTCCCCCTTCCCACATGCCATAGCTCCCTCCATACCCCCCAGGGTGTCGGGAGCCCTTGCCATTTTATTTAGAGTCATTCCGCATTCTCGGAACCCTGAGAGATGCCCACAACCTTCTTCCCTCCCGCCAGGGATCCCTTCATGCCTGACGCTGCCCTTCCTGTCCCTCCAGTGTTCCATGCCTTCCTGCGTCACGGCGTTCCATGTCACATGCGCCTTTGACCATGGCCTGGAAATGCGGACTATATTAGCAGACAACGACGAGGTCAAGTTCAAGTCGTTCTGTCAGGAGCACAGTGAGGGGGGTCCGAGGGGTGAGCCTACCTCCGAGCCTGTGGAGCCCAGCCCAACTGGTGAGGACCTGGAGAAGGTGACCCTGCGCAAGCAGCGGCTGCAGCAGCTGGAGGAAGACTTCTACGAGCTGGTAGAGCCGGCCGAGGTGGCAGAGCGCCTGGACCTGGCCGAGGCGCTGGTCGACTTCATCTACCAGTACTGGAAGCTAAAGAGGAAAGCCAATGCCAACCAGCCGCTGCTGACCCCCAAGACCGACGAGGTGGACAACCTGGCCCAGCAGGAGCAGGACGTCCTCTACCGCCGCCTGAAGCTCTTCACACACCTGCGGCAGGACTTGGAGAGGGTGAGTACCCCTGCTACCTGGTGGCCATCCTGGGAGGCCTTCGCAGCCCACTCTCACTGCCCTGGAGTAGCCGTGGCTCACCAGGACTCACTGGGGGCTGTGGCCCAGGGGCTGAGGGCCTCCAGGTCTCAGACAGGGTGGGGGGAACTGTTACTTTGTAGCACAAGGAAGGATCCCGCTCTCGGGTCTGAGTCCCTCTTGTCTCAGCCCTTTCAAAGGCCTGGTGAAGGGTGGGGGCCCTGCCAAGGTCATGAGCTTGGAGATGCCAGAGCTGGGACAAGGACTCAGGCTTCTAGCTCCTCGTGGCCTCTGATCCCATTTGTGGCTTCTCGGGGCCCTGCCTGGTCCCAACACACAAGCTTCTGCTTAGAGTTGGAGGCAGGGAGGGACGGAATCATAAGCGAGTTGAATCAACCCAACAGGTATGTGCTGGGCCAGGGTAGGGAAGACAGGTATGACTGCGGCTCCCAGGGGTGCTGGACAGAGGGAAGGGTGTGAGCGGAGGGCTCAGGGTGGGCCGGAGACCAGCAGCCACCTGCGTGGAGCGGAAGGATACGGCTAGGTGGGTGGACCAAAGTGGTCTGGAAGCTGCGGAAGGGTTTTAAGCAGGGACTGCCCTGCTGTGGCTGCCACTTCCAAACACTCACCCCAGAGGAGGAGACACAGGGCCCAGATGGAGTAGGTAGGTTGGCTGAAACCCTCCAGCTACATGCTGGGAGACAGGTGATCTTGGCTTGGTCCAGTGTGGTAGCTTTGGGGGACTGAGTGAGATGAAGTAAGGTGAGGAAGTACAGACTCCATGGTTTGGGGCTGGGTTGTGGAGATTGGGGGGCAGTGAGAGTTGCTGGTCTAGAGCATGGAGGCCCCCAAAGTCTCCAATTCCTCCTACTCCCCCAAGAAAGGTGAGGGAGTCCTGCCTTCTATGGGTTGCGCCCTTGAACTTGGCTTTTCTGGCATCCCTCCCCTGCCACCTCCAGCTGATAAAAAGTACCACCCCAAGTTGGGGACAACCCGAGAGGAAGCAGGATGTTCTGATTCCTTGGTCCTCTGAACCCCAGGTGCCGTTCTGGTCTTTCCTCTGTGGGACATTCAGTTCTAGGGTTCCAGAGCACGTGGCATCCTGTCACAGCGTCCTCCATGGGTACAGACACATTTCCTCAGGCCGTGTTAGGAAGCAGCCCTGGGTGGGAGCATCGAGGGGGCTTTGTATGACCTGGGGCAGCAGCTTTTGGTAAGTCTATAAAATGAGTAGAGCAACGAACTGGGCAGGGGCGGGAGGGTGGGGCATGAGGTGGAGGCTGTGAAACTGGACCTGGCTTCCCCACCTTCCTTCACCCCACTCATCTGCCCTGCCGCCTGATCAAGGGGAAATGACCCTGCTGGCCTGGGAGGGAACTTATTGTCTGGCAGTCAGCCTGACACCAGGTCCGAAGTGAGAGGCTGGGGGAGGAGGGCACCAAATGTCCCTGGCTCCAGCCAGGGCAGAGGGCAAGTCCACCTACATTGCGGCCACCGTTTCCTGGGCAGCCCGGCCTTCTGTCTCATGTGGCAGGACCGTCAGGTACAAATCCTTCTGAGACCAAAGCTGCTGTTGCAATTGTTCTCAGACCACCCCCGAGTCTCTAGTGCAAACACCTGCTTTTACTCTTGCTGTTTCCAGTAGCTCTGACCTCCCCGGTCTGAGCTGGTCGGCCAGTGTGCTTGACCCTGGCTAAGCTGTGGGGGGGAACCAGGGGGATGGGCTCATGGATTTCATCATTACCCTAAAAAAGGAGGCAAGAAGTAGATACTCCCAGCCCTGGTTAGCAGATGAGAAAACAGGGGCTCAGAGAGCAGAAGTGACAGGAAGCCTTAGAGGACCGTGTGTGTTTTAGGGTTTGAGTTGAATTTGGGCCTGAATGAGGGGAGGGGTTTGTGAGAAAGGATTGTTGGCTTATTCTCTATTCTGTGCATTTCCTGGTCAAAAGCATCCTCTTATCAGTCCCTGAACCTCTCCCCGACCCCTTGTTAGCTGGTACAGGTGCACCCAGGGGTCAAGGTTGTAAAGGGCTAGGAAGCCAGTGAGCCTGCTGAGGCCAACTCTGGGGTTCCCAGGCAACCAGAGCTGCCACATAGACCCCTCTGGTCAGGGGACAGAGCCCTCCAAAGCCAGGCATGAGCCCGCCCACTCTTCCTCCAGGAAGAGGAGGCAGGGCTGGCTTTAAGTCTGTGCAGCATCTCAGGGCTCAGGAGGCCCTGTCAAAATAAAATGCTGCTTCTCCAACAGCCACCAAACTGGGCTGGTGGCACCACTGGGAGCAAGGTGAGGGAGTAAGAGTCAGCCACCTGGGTCAACCCACTCCAGGTCCAGCCTCAGGGCCTTTCACAGCCATGCTTGGTGACTTCAGTGAGTGAACAAAGCCAAGGACCTTGCCATGGGGGTGGCTTTCTGAAAAGACCCTTGACTGTTGGTGACCTGGCCATTCGGCCCGATCTCTGACCATGGCCCAGTACTGATGGCCGAGGGTATCCTTACGACTGGACGGACACCAGGCCAGCTTGGGCTGGGCTCATCGGGGAGGCAGGGTTCGAGTTGAGATGGAGGCCTTGGGTGGCCTGGGTTTGCATCCAGTTCCAGCTCTTCCCAGCTCTATGCCTTCTGAATTTCAGTTTCCACTTCTCTGAGTTTCAGTTTCCTGTCAGTAGAATGGGAATAAGGATGGAACTGACCTTGGGGTCACAGTGAAGGACAGAACTTAGCACAGTGTCCTCTGTTGTTAGTGGTGGTGGTGGTTGCTGCTCTGGCTCGTGGAGGGGGCTCCATGGAGAACCAAAAGGCAGGCGCAGTGCCAGGGCCAGGGGATCACAGGGCATCCTCCCTGATTTATTTGCCCTGAAGGCCAGGCTGGGGTTTTGCTGAGAGAAGCAGGAGCCAAGGCCATGCTGCTGCCACCAGCGTGAAACCTCATTTTCTGCTCCGCCTAAAGGTGTGCAGGCCTCAGCCCTGGCAGGCAGCTCTGGAAGGCATGGCCACTGCAGCCTCCCAGTTATTCACAGCTGACAAAAAAATTGCAGCACTGACGATCAGCTCGGCTGGTGTCCCCTAGCAACCGGGAAGGCAGTTCGGGCTGCGCAAGTCTTCACAGACCCTGGCCCTGCATCTGCTTACCAGGAGTTTATTCGAGAGCCTGACCTGGCCTGAGCGGGGCTAAGAGGGCAGGGGCAGCTCTCAGATGACACTCCCCTCCCCCTGGAGGACAGTCATGTAGGAACTCCCTCAGGCCTCATTTCCGATAGCTCTCCCAAGCGGGGAAGATCCTGCCACCACCACCCCCCATCCCACTTGCACCCGCTTCCTAGTCCGTCGGTCACACCCCATTCACTGCCTCCTCAGTGCCTGGATTGTGGTCTGCTTGGCCTCCCACCGAAGCCCCCCTTGTCCGGGGCAGCCTCGGCCTCCAGGCTCGTCAACCCCCATATCCCATCTCCAGGATTTTCTCACCCACTAGTGCCCCCGTCCCTCTCAAACCCTGTCACTACCCCCAATTACTCCCTGGTCCCCAGATCCCCCCACATCCCCCTCCTTAACCATAGCCTCCTACTCTACCTGCTCAGTTGCCCCCCCAGACCCTCCACCCTTCACTGTCTCCTATTTTCTTGGCTCCCACCCCGTCTAGCATTAGCCCTTGTCCCTGTGCAGAGGCCACACCCCAGGCAGAGCCTCACCCAGTAGGAGCCACTCTCTGCCAACCAGAAGCAATCCCATAGCAGTGAGCAGGGGGGTCCCCCAAGGTGCCTGCCCCCCAGTGTCGGCAGGACCCAAGTCAGCAACATGCTGGGCTCCGTAACCCAGCACCTATCTCCACTCCTGCTCCCCATCTCTTAGCAGACAGCCTCGCCTCCTGTTCCTCAGACCAGAACCCTCCACGTTCGTGCCAGGGGAGCCCTCTGTGTGCATCTCTGCCTTTCCTCCCATCTCCTCCCCTCCCCGTCAGGGATCCCTTTCCAGTCCTCACCCTGCAGCACACGGGTTTCTCGTTTATTCCTCCCCTCTCCGTCTCCAGGATCCCACCAGCATCTGAACCTATTTCACCTTCTCCCATCTGTAAAAGGAAGCCCCCCGCCCCACCTGTCTCCTTTATCATCATCCCTCACTGTTCTCACTTCCTTGGTCAAGCTCCTGCCATAACCCTAATCCAGAATCTTCCACCAGGACCAACAGCCCCCAAGACCAGGCTGTGTCCAGTGGTTACGTCTCTGTCCTTGTCCCCTAGCCCTTTCAGCAGTAGTTGCCACAGTCAAATGTGCCCTTGGTCTTGAAAACCTTCGATGCCCTTAATGCCCCTGTTCTCCCTCCCTCCCTGAGTTCTTCTTGGTCCAGTGCTCGTTCGCCGCACTTGGCCTGACCTCCCAATGCCGCTTCTACTCCACAGCTTTGTTCCCCGTCGGGCCAGCTCCAGCCCACGCCTGCCTCCTGAGCTCCAGCGTCTCGTGCCCGGGACACCCACAGGTCCCAGCCTGCTCCTGTTACCACCCCCCTATCTCCATGAACGTCCTCAACCCTGGTCCATTCTAGCTCAAGTTAGTTGGCTGGACGTCCCCTGTGCCCCTCCCTTTTCCTCAGCTCACTCTCGGCAAAACTTGCTGGTATCAAAACCACTTCATCAGAATGTAAAACCTTTTATTACCAATCCCTGCCCTAGTTTGGGGCACTTTGCTACTTGATTCATTTTTGTTCTCCTATTTTTTTTTTCAAGAGAACATTTTATCTTTATAATCAGAAAAAAAAACAATAATGACAATGCAAGGAGCCTGATAGCGTGGGTGAGCTTCTAAGGTAGTATTAATACTTTGTCCTCCAAAGCCATCATGGAAGAGGAATTCTCCAGCATTCAATAACAGGTAGCTAGCTATCTTACTGAGAGTCTTGGGAGAAATTAGAGAAGTAGGGGATTAAACCAGGGTGAAGTGGGAATAAGGGATCACATGTGACCAACGTACCCACCAGAGAACGTTGGCATCGTTGGAAGTGTTCCTATCTTCTATAGTAGGAATCTCCAGGTCTTACTGCAGATAAATTGAGTATTTACCTGCAATATATTGTATTTTTAATATCTCATTCTTATTTACCACTCTATATCATAAAGCAAATGTAATCAGAATTTCTAATGGGATCAAAAAATATTCCAGGGCCAGCCACGTGACTCAGTTGGTTAAGAGCTCGCTCAAGAGTGTGAGCTCTGAGCAACAGGGGTGCTGGTTCGATTCCTGGCCTGAGCTGAGCTGTCAACAGCTGCCAATAGGTGGCAGGATGGCTCAGCTAAAAAATAAAAAATAAAAAAATTTGTTTATATCAATAAATAAGTTAAAAAAAAATTCCAGTAAAAGTTCTGATATTTCCTTCCTATCCAGTGATAAGCTATTGAACTCAATAGCCTGTGCAGCTTACTTTGGAGGCTCCCTAGCCTCCCAATAGTTCTGATTCCACAGGGCGACGTGAAATGTACTATACTTGAAGGTCCCACCCCGGGAGTTTGATAGGCCCTCAAGCCTGGGAATCTGTTTTGTAACCAGTTACCCCAGAGGACTTGATGCCGGTAATTCATTTGGGCATGCTTTAGGAAACCTTCCTCTAGAGTTTCAGATGGAAGATAAAATATACCCCAAAGGCTATATGTATATTTTAATAGGAAGTAATTAAGTATAACTCTTGGTTCTTTTGCGGAGAAGTCTGTGACTCTGAGCCTCACCTCATCTGGCTCCCCGCCTTTAGAGGTTAGGTTTAAGGATGAGGAAACCCCAGAATGGTGTGTTTTAAGAAATTTTTGAAAGCTGGACCTCAACCAATTTTTTTCTAAGTTGGATGTATTGACTGGTTTGTTTTGGGGCCTTTAAAGTCGCCATGAATCCATCTACCGCTCTTCACCCCCACTGACCCCCTGCACACGGGGCCACATGACTACCAGGAAGGCCACAGACAAGGATGCAGGGAGAATGATGTGGGGCTGTTTAGATGCGGTGGACAGGGAAGGCCTCCTGGAGGTGACACTTGAGCCAGGACCTGAAGGACAAGGTCCAGCCTTGGGGAGAGAGGGGTGAAGATCATTCCAGGCCAAGAGTTTAAAATATGTAGCAAGGCCCCAAGGGCTGGACACAGAAAGAAGGTGACAGGAGGTGGTGTACTTATCACCTGACTGTGGGACACGGGCTGTGAGGTGACAGTGGGTCAGATTGAACAAGGCTTTGGGCTGTGGCTGTGGTTTTTTCAAGTGTGCTGAGAAGGAAGCTGTATTTGTTTCCTAGGGCTACTGGAACAGTACTGCAAACTCAGTGGCTTTAAACAACAGACAATTGTTCTCTTACAGTTCTAGAAGCCGGAAGTCAGCAAGGTTGATCCCGGAGCTCTGGAGGTTCTGAGGGAGAATCTGTTCTGAGCCTCTCTCCTAGCACTTGGTGGTCTCTGGCAACCCTGGGTGTCCCTGGAGTTGTAGACGCATGGCTCAGTCTCTCCCTTTGTTGTCACATGGCACTCCCCTGTATGTATCCACTGACTAGTGTGTCCTTATGAAAGGCCATGTGAAGACACATACGGGGAGGAAAGTGGGGTCACCAGCTGAACTGACCGGATGCTTTCTCTGCCTGCTCTGGCTCAGCCAGGGGCCATAGGGCCACGGCTGTGCCAGTCCCATGTTTTAGATCCGAGAACTGTGGCTTAGGGCTGAGGACGCACTCAGGGTCTGCGAGTTGATTCCCAGATGTCCTGGGCTGTGTAGGCAGTGGTTACCCCCAGAGCTGGGAGGTCAGGGGTGGTTGCCCTTGAGTAAGGTGGGAAATCTCTCTTGTGTTTCCTCAGGTTAGAAATCTGTGCTACATGGTGACAAGGCGCGAGAGAACGAAACATGCCATCTGCAAACTCCAGGAGCAGATATTCCACCTGCAGATGAAACTTATCGAACAGGATCTCTGTCGAGGTAGGCGCCTTCCCAGCCCACCATCAGCCACTTCAGTGTGCACGCTCTCAAGGGGCTGGGTCTCAAAGACATGTGTCTTTGGGGCCTGGTGGGGGCAAGTGCAGGAGGCCAGGGGCCGCTGGCTTCCACCCCTGCCCTCCCAAGATGGGCCCCTTGGGTCCCAGGTGTGTATCGTTAGGCAGGGAGCCAGAGTTTGGAATGTGGACATCAGGCCTGCCCTCAGAGAGCTTTCTGGTTCACGGGGGACACCCAGGTAGCTACAGGGCCACAACAGTTCTAGGAATGAACTGCATGTGAACAGGTAGATACAGAAGTCCTAATGGCTCTGTGTTGCTGTGCTGGCCCTGGGGCAGGAAGAGCCAGAAGCCAGCGAGCCTCCCTGGCCTGTGTGTGCCTGCGCATTGGTCCTGAGCAAGGCAGCTGCCCCAGAGATGGAAGAGGATCTGTGCTTTCTTTCTCTCTGGCCTCATCTAATAGGATTCAGGCCCTGTGCCGGCAGTTTTTTCCTCTGTTTTCTTCTATTCTCCTGCCATCATGTGCATTTAACAGATCTGGAATTCCAAGGCCCGCGAATCTCTGACATTGCTTCTATCTGTTATTTGTATGGCTACTGCCAGACAGGGGGCCCATCCTGGAATGTTCATATGTTAAGGGGGGCAATGCTTAACCCAGAAAATGGTGCTCCTATGTTGAATTGCAACGCAACAGAAGTAGCTAGCTGGAGAGAGATTTTAAGTCAGGGGCTACCACTGCCAGCTCAGCCTCTGGGCCTGGAGTGGACAGAGAGGAGAGATTCTGGGCCACCACCGGTGCGATGACTAAGGACCTGGTACTGCCCACTGTTGCCCGAGAGCCAAGCTTCCTCATCTACACTTAGGGATCACCAACCCACTCTGGCCCAGGAAACCAGCATTGCCAAGTACAGGTACTGGGTCAGGGTGGGTCACGGCCATGCAGACAGATTTCAGAGCTCACCATGCACCCCAAGACTACGGCAGCTTCCCAGCTGCCAGAGCTTTCTGGGCTCCCTCTCATCTGTTGATTGATTCAGTGAGCACTAAGTGAGCATGGACAGAAGGCCAGGCCCTGAAACCTTGAATAAACAAGGTTTCTGCCCTTGTCTGGGAAAGTAAAGGAAAGTGGTGCCCGAGGGGCTACGGTTGGTACCAGCGCAGGGACAGAGGTATAAGGGCTGGCTTCATGGTGGTGGTGATCTGGAGCAACGTCTCAGGCTTCCTAGGATCTCGCTATGGGCACATATCCAGCTGCAGAAGGAGAGGCTCACAGTCAAGGCAGCAGAGTGGCAAGGCACGCGGTGCCCTCAGGCACAGGGTTCTAGAAATAGGGTGAAGAGCCTGGTGGGTCCACATCCCCACATTCAGTCTGGGGACATTTGTAGTTCCTAGACCTGGGTGGCAGCCACAGGCAGTCCGTGGTTCCGGGCAGGACGTTTGAAGAGGAGACTGGTTTGCCTCTGCCTGAAGTTGACGCCCTCGGTGTTGTGTGCTTGTCCCCTGGGGTGGGACATGGGCTGCAGGCATATTGCCGAAGCCTGTCTGGCAAGAGGGCTGGAGAAGTCTTCCCAATGGCAGTGATATTTAGGCTGTGAGCTGAACCAGGCGATGGACAGGATGAAACAGGGCATTTTTGGAGAACTAGAGGCCAGAACCTGTCTTGTTAGAGAAACTGGGAGGAGGCTGACGTATCTGCAACCAGTGTAGGAGGAAGATGTCTAAAGTGAGGCTGAGGGGTTGCCAGGGTTGGCCGACCGTGCAAGGTCTGTGGCCCTTGGAAGGAGCTCGGCCTACGCTGAGGACAGTGGGGGGTATCTGGGCGCTGGTCCCATGTTATAGATGCAGAGACTGAGGCCGGGCCTGAGGTTTCCAAGGGAATCAACAGCAGAGCTGGGAAGATTCCAGAGCTGGGGCCACGCCCCTCAAGCCCCTTTTAGACCCTTATTCAGGAAGCCATCCAGCCTCTGGCTAAGAAGGTGAGAGAAGATTCCCAGCACCTGGGCCTCCCCCTCCACACGTCCCTCCCTGCTGCCGTGTTTTCTGTGGCTCCCTAGACCTGTGTGGTCATGGGCTGAAGGGCTGTAAAGGCCAAATGTGCACCCAGGTCTCCCATCTACTGTCTGACCTCAAAAGCAGACTAGGAGACCAAGGTGGAGACCTGCTCAAGGGGGCTGACCAGTGTGAGGACTGGCACAGCCTCTTGACTTCTTAGTGCTCTGTCCACCTTCATGTCCACCTCCCTGGCCTGGCATTCAAGGCTGTGCCCTGTCCACTCACCTCCAGCCAGCCTCCCACCCACCAGGACTCTCCCAGGATCCGTAGGCGAGGTGGATCAGGCTGCAGTCCAGATCCTGCCAGGTGGGGTTCCATCCTCTTTGTGGCCCTGTGCCCTCCCCTAAGCCCTACAAGGGCCGCTGTGGGCAGTTACCCGTCACTCTCCCACATCAGCTGTTTCTTGATTCTCTAGAGTCCTAGTTATCCCAGGTCCCCTATGGCTCTGAGCCTGGGGCACATAGGCAGGTCACTTGGATGGTGAGGCGCCAGGCGAGGGAGGACTCCTGGGGTGACATGGAATGATCTTGGTTCTGGCTGAGGCTGTTCGGGGTAACCACATCCTTCCTGCTCTCTCTTTCCCTGACGCAGAGCGGTCTGGGAGGAGAGCAAAGGGCGAGAAGAGCGATTCAAAAAGGAAAGGTCGTGAGGGCCCAAAGGGCAGCCCTGAGAAGAAAGAGAAAATGAAGGCGGGGCCTGACTCAGTCCTGGGGCAGTTGGGTAAGTGGCCAGACTGGCCTGGCAGACTGGCCAGGCTCACGCCATCACTCCGCTTGCAGCCTCTGTCCCCCCCGTCCTCCTCCCCAGGGACTGTCAGCACCCCCACTGCACAGAGGAGGCCCAAGAGGGTAACCAGGCCCTTCCTTGCCTAGGCACTCACACCTGCTAGCCATAAAGGACACTAGGGTCTCAAAGCCCCATCGGCCACCCCAAGAAATTCCCCTTTTGTACACCGGAGCTGGAGTCTGGGCCCAGGAGCTCAGGAACTGCCCACTCATTCTGCTGGCCTGGGTGTCCTGGATGGTGCATTTGCCCAGAGGCCCTCAATGGACCTCTAGGCCATCTGGGCACTTCTCGAAGCCCAGCCCCATGATGGGACGTCATGATCTGCCAGAATTCTCCATCCTTGTCCCACTCTGCCAGAATCTTCTCAAAGGGACCCTCCCTTCAGTACCAATGAACTTTCCGGGAGCCACCCAGAGGGATCCAAAGCAGTAGCCACAAGCATTGGCCCTTCTCAGGCATCTTCACTGTCACAGACCTCCTTACTGCTGCCCCATCAAGCCGAGCAGCCCTTGAGGGGACCCCGGCTGTGGGCTTTATCGCCCAGGATGTCGCATGCTTTCCCTAGAGCACTTCTCAGGGATCCAGTGGAGTCGCCTTCCAGACCTCACTTCTAGCACAGAAGCCCCAGGTCATCTTTTATTTCCCTGTCTCAGGAAGGGGACAACTTGGGTGTCTTAACGGGAGGCTCAGTCTCACCAGCTGTCCCTCCCAAGACCTCAGGAGAGGAGGGAGGGCCGATAGCCAGAGCTGGTCTTGGCGTGCAGGAGGGCCCTTGTACCTAGATGTGCCTTGCCACCCTAGTCATGCTAAGTTCCTTGCTTTGGACTTGGCAGCGCGCATAGTAACTCAGCGCCCCCCTGGTGGCCAGAGGGCGCTTTCCTCTATTCCTCCATTTCCTGTACCCCCAAGACTGGGTGTGCTCCTGTGCAGTCTCATAGGCCCTCACTTGGCTTAATGCTGTACTGTGTTGCCCCCTTGAAATTCTTAATAATTTTTTAACAGGGAGCCTGGTAGGAAGGAAGGGAGGGAGGGAGAGAGGGAAGTGAGGTGTTGGGGAGGGCCAGAGGGGCCTTTCTGAAAGTGAGTGGGGTCTGACCTGCCGCCTCTCTGCTCTGCCAGGCCTGTCCACCTCATTCCCCATCGACGGCACCTTCTTCAACAGCTGGCTGGCGCAGTCAGTGCAGATCACAGCAGAAAACATGGCCATGAGCGAATGGTCACTGAACAACGGGCACCGCGAGGACCCTGCTCCGGGGCTGCTGTCGGAGGAGCTCCTGCAAGACGAGGAGACGCTGCTAAGCTTCATGCGGGACCCCTCGCTGCGACCCGGTGACCCTGCCAGGAAGGCTCGTGGCCGCACCCGCCTGCCTACCAAGAAGAAACCATCACAGGATGGGCCAGGGTCACGGACGACTTCAGACAAACCCCCCAAGAAGCCCTGGGGCCAGGATGCAGGCGGCGGCAAGGGGGTTCAAGGGCCACCTGCCAGGAAACCACCCCGGCGAACACCTTCTCACCTGCCGTCCAGCCCTGCAGCCGGGGACTGTCCCATTCCAGCAGGCCCCAGAAGCCCCCCACCGCTGGCCCCTGACACCCCCGACGAGGCAGTCCCAATGGCTGCCGACTCGAATGTCCAAGTGCCTGGCCCTACGGCGAGCCCCAAGCCCTCAGGCCGGCTGCGGCCGCCCCGCGAGAGCAAGGGAGCCCGGAGATCATCGGGTGCCAGGCCTGATGCTGGGACAGGACCGCCTTCTACTGTGGCCGAGAGGCCAAAGGTCAGCCTCCACTTTGACACTGAGACTGATGGCTACTTCTCTGATGGGGAGATGAGCGACTCAGACGTGGAGACCAAGGACAGTGGGGTGCAGCGGGGTCCCAGGGAAGCAGGGGCTGAGGAGGTGGTCCGCATGGGGGTTCTGGCCTCCTAAGTCACCCGTACCCCTGCCCCAGGCCCTGCCCTGGTCCCCCCATGAGGCCTCAGCCCAGTCACAACTGCCATTTCCAATCTTTGCTGAGTGTCCCAGACCCTTGAGGCTGCCACTCTGTTGTGGTTTTATTTTTAATATAGAGAGAGTTTTGAATTCCACACTGTTGTCTTTCCTCTGTGCTGGCCTAGGACATTAGGATTCCTTCCACGGCTCTGGCTGCAAGGACCAGGCCAGGTCCTATGCAGCCTTCCTGCCATAGCAGCATCCCCGCCCTGCCCACGCGGCATTGCTGGGTTCCTGGCTAGATGCAGGCAAGGTGAAGAAGAGCTCAGGACGCCAGTCCGCTGCCACTGGGTGACACAGACTGTCATTTGGGCATTATTTCATGGCAGATGGGCCAGCCCAGGGCCTGCCCCACGTTGCCCCCAAATCCCACTGGAGTCCATTTGGGGTTGGGTGGGGGGGGGGTCCTGCTGCACTCCACTGATCCCCAAGGAAGTATAATAAGTGATACCCAGCCAGAGTCTACTCACTGTCACAAGCACAACGAGCTTAATACAAGAAAGCACTGAGGGGGCGCAGAGGACCCCGCTGGTTCCAGGGGAACCTCAGCTGTTCCTGATCAACCCACATCTGAGGCCTGCCCGCCCACCCCGCGACCCTCCAGCCCCTTGCTGCTCCGCCCCTGCCAGTGCCCAGCCCTGCAGCTCTGGGCAGGGGTTCCCAGAATCCTTCCTGAGCTGTGCCACTTACTCAGGGGACTCCCAAGCAACCAGCCACCGGGGCCGGTGGAGGGCTGCCAGGAAGGGCCAGTGCCCAGATGGGGGCATGGGGCTCAGGCTCGCCCACTGCAGAGAATCACTCTGGGGCTCCAACTTCCTTCCTTCGGGGCCAGTCCTGCTGAAGTCTAGTCATTCCTAGACAGCTGACCAGACCAGACCAGACCGTTTGCCTTTTCAAGTTTCCCAGTCCTGCTAAGAGTTGAGCTGCTTCCTCAGTTTCCTTCTGGAAACCCCTCCTCCCAACTAGCAGTGGGATCCCGGGGCCCGGGCAGCAGTGTTGGCTGCCGGGGCTGTTTCAAGTCTTGATGGAAGCTCCTGGTTCCTCTCCCTCTGAGCCTTAACCCCCTTTCCCAGCCGTGCCCTCCCA